TATGAACTTTCCTATCACTTATGTTGTTTTTGTGTTAACCGCTACCTGCTAAATCAAAAATAGCAAAGTGTATTTAAACTTGAGCACACTTCACTTTGCATCCGTTTAGGAGAAACGTTCCCTCTCACACAATAGCGTATTCCTTAGTTCTAGCCGTTTGATCAGGCTTTAGGTGACACGTTTCAGGAAACGTGCCCGAATCTGACATAAGGTCCTTCCTCTATCCCTATTGCCATGGATTTTACTCATCTTTTTACATGTTGTCGTGAACTGAGAGCATAAGAAATGCCCTACAGTCTGGTGGTCTGTCCAGCAACACACTTTGCCTGGCAGCAGCAGTAGGAGAACACTGTTGAGAACGTGGCCAGACTGATTATCTCCTGCTGCGATCTCTGTCTATGGGATTTCTCCAGAACCTACAATTGTAATAGGGTTGTTAGGAGGTACATCCTTTCCTATTACTTTTGGTATCCATTTATGTACCTGTTGTCCTCCGTAATATCACTTGTGTATTTTGTAAGTACTGAAGTTCCTTGAGCTCAGGGTTATTTGAGTGTATAAACGGAGGTTATCAATATGTCACATGGTGCTGTAATTAGGTCCATCAGCTTTTGAGCAGAGCGTATTATCCAGCACTCAGTACTTTATCAGTGCTTTTTAAACTTACAGATCTGTGTGCAAATAGTTTGTTTTCTACAGCTGAAATTGCTACCAGAACTGCCTGCCAAAGGCAACATGACAGCATATGCTTAGAGAAATGACTTTTCAAATTACATTGTAAAAGGTATTTTTACACTGCTTTTGCTGTAAGTAAAGGTTTACTTTTGCTTGCTTTGAAATCTCTGACTTATTCTTTTTCAAAAAGGAAAATTACTTTTAAATATTACACTTTTGATTTCTTGATTTCAGTACAAGGGGAGAGGATTTGCTAACAAAAATAGGCATGAGAGTTTGAGGCACATGGTATGTAAGAAGGCTTAAGAACTAAAAAAAAAAAAAAAAAAAAGAAGAAAAGAAAAGGAGAACAGTTGGCATTAAAATACTAGTCGAATTGGTTCAAATGGTTCTAGAACCAGAGGATGTGTTGCTGTACCTGTATCAATTTGTCCTGTGGGAGATCATGACTCATTGCGTTACCATAGGAGCAGCATGGCGCTAATTCATCTATGCTATTTCTGCAATATAAGCTGCTGTCTTTGCCTGGCATAGCATTGCACTGCACTGGTAAGGTGCAGTGGTAGGCTTGGAGCTGTCTTTGACATGTCCGTGCTGTTGGTTGCACACCATGTATATGCCTCAAGTTAGGAAAAAAGAGAGACAGAAATGTATCAAAGGAGGTGGAAGTCGTTAACTGTGGAGAGTTGTTTTGGGGTCTTTTGGGGGCAGGGGGGGTGAGTGTTTGAGATACTGGTATGTTGCTGAATTTAATCAGCCTTAAGTTGCTGTAGAGGGCATTATTCAGCACGGATCTCTTGCAGACCAGAGAAACAGACTTTAGGTTGCCCCCTCTGAAAACATAGTTCTGTCTTCCTAATTTCAAAGTGTGAAGCAAGTGTGTTTACATTGAAATACCTGGTTTGTACAGTGGCTGAACAAAGACTTTAAGTCTGTAAGCACCTCCCTTTTTTTTTTTTTAAACATAGTAAACATTTTAGACATCTTAAATTATTGCCTTTCTATTAGCTCTTTGTAGTTTGATTTGCATTTAGTGTCTTGATTTATGCCTCCCACACAGCAGATAGCTAAATGTATTCTTTGTTTTTATTATTAAGCTGGGTGACATCCCAGCCACTGTGGTTTTCTCCTCCAGTTTCTCTCCCCCCTTCCGTCCTCCCCCGCCCCGAGTTGAATGTTTATTTTAAAGCTACTTTTGATTCTGGGCGTAATATCTGAGATTTTATATGCCTGTTGTTCCTTGCCTTCTTATTATTGCAATTGCCCATGCAGTCATATTTCTGAATGTTTCTATATGCTTATTATGACATCAGTTTAAGTTGGGGGGAAAAACAGTTGATGTAATCTGCATCAGACTGAGAAAGGGGAAAAAAAATTTTTTTTTTTTAATATGTAAGAAAAACCCATTGCAAACTTCTTTCATTTGGTTATGTGCTTTCACAAATCAATTGTATATGTGTAACACAGCGTATTTGTTATTACTCTGTTAAAAGTATTTTACTAGTATTTAAGTGAGCTGGAAGTGGCTGGGTTTCAAGATTAGGGTTAGTATACGTTGCAGTTTACGTAGTTGTTGGTGTTCCCCAGTCACACTGGGCAGCTGACTGACCGTGGCCTGTTGTTCAGCTTAGAGCTACAATCTGGAATATTTTTCAAGTACAGTCAAAACATGGCCATTATGTTCTCTGAGGGGCTATAATCTGAGACATTTGCTCTATAAAGCTCCAATAACAAAAGAAAAACCTATATCGCTACTTATGGATACTTTAATTTTTAGTAGTGTTTCTGTGGTTTCCAGTAAATTAAGGACATTCATTTCTCTCCATTCCAAATGATCTACTGTAAGGATATTTGTCCATGGTACCATATTTTGGCGTGTGAAGTGTGGGTTTTTTTTGTTTTTTTTTTTTCTTTTACACTGAGTTATAGCATGCTGCATTAGAAAAGGTTTTAAAATTAAGAATGACTGTTGAATGGAATTCCATTACATGTTAAATCACTGTCAGGGGCTAATGTCGCTATGTTCTGGTATTTTTATTTTTAAAGGACATTACTTTAACCTTAAATAAATGACTTGCAGGGCTGTGGACTTCATAACATCCCCAACGCAGCTCACTAGCATTTTTCTTTTGTATTTGGATTTTTCTACCCTAGAAGCATAACTGTGGCGCCTAATACTTGATGCATTTATTTGCCCTAGTAATAACCAACTGGTTAGAGCTGGATTTCCAGCATGATAGCACTGGATGAGCTATGTCTTGTGTTGGCGGCTATGCCGTTTTGTCTAATTCTGGGGTAGGGCCATCAAACGTGTATAAGCCTAGTATTAGCGGAGGGAATACCAGGGGAGTGCTCCCCAAGATCTCTCCTTGCCTAGAGGACCAGGCAGGGAGATTGGTTTAGCAGTCAAAGGTAAGAGGTCATGGCTGCACTGCACAAAACTGAGTCAGAGGAGTGGTGGGAAAACCAAGAACCAAAAAGTGCCAACCAAAACGTCTGCTAAGGGTTAGGAAAGGTCAGGCAACTTATTGTGTTTGCCAAGCAAATGCTAGTCATTGCTGCGTAGTTACAGATAATGCTTAAAGTGCCTATTGTGATATAATCTGCGTACATCGTAGCCTATAATGAATTGCAAATGCTAGTACACACTACAACACGGATGTACTGCAACCTACTTGAAATTCTTACTTGAACCTGAAAAACTCTTTTCAAAGATTTAGTGGCATTTTGGCTTGCCACAAAGTGAGTTAAAGCTTTCATTGTTACCATATTTCTCTTCTTTTTCTTGTATTAGGTTTTTAATATTTTTCTGGTTTAGATCTAGTAGTTGTCAGCGATACTGCACAAACTTCCTTCTACGAACAAAGTTAAAAATTAGAAGTTTATAAATGTTTTCTAAGGTGTATCTATGTTACACTTAGAATGTTACGCCGGAGTTCTGACTCTTTCCTCAAAAAATTCCAAAGGATTAATAAAAAATTAAAATTCCAATGAAGCACGTTATCATACTAAGGCTTTTCACGTGTATGCTGTAGATCCAGTTGCCATTGTAGCGTATGGCACCTGGCTGTGAATCCTTGGAATATTTGTTTTACAAAACATCTTTAACGCTTTCTAAGAAAAAAAATTTTTAAATTGTAGTTGTGCATATGAAAAAATAAAAAATAAAAATAGTGCTACTTGTACAGGTTTTGAAGATTGTATATTATATGCTCTCTTAATATACATTTCAGGTATTTGGGGGAATAAAATTAACTAGTATAGCTTTCAGGTTTGGGGGTGGGGATAGGAATCGGTAAGCAGAAATTTTTTTTTTAATAGACAGCAATATGCCTTAGTGTGTCACTGGAAATTGCCTGTACAGCATTCCACCTGCTTATTCAACATACCACCTCAGGGTTAGGCATTACTGTTCAGTTTTAAAAAATCTTCTTTTTCTGCCCACAGAATAATGATTGTGTTCTAACTCAAATAATGATGTTTTAAACTGGGGGGAGGAAGACAGTGGAAAAGCAGATGAGCGCTTAAATCTAAAAGGATAATTTTTTTTACAGCTTTTCTGAGCACTAAACTTTATTCTTCAAGGTTTTTTCTTTTTACCTCCTTTATAAACCCTTTTTGTCAACTTTTCCCTATATGGGTGTCTTCCTAAATGGTAATGAAAAGTATCAGCTCCTCTTTAGACAGGCATTGTCTGATGAAGCCTCTGAGGCGCTCCTTTGGACTGCTTGACCATGAAGAGAATTTTGTTGTAAAGGAAGCTTGAAATATTCCTCCGTCTGCTTTTCTCCTCCTATCAACAGTGTATCTGTTGCTTAAATCTATATATCCAAAACCTAGAAAAAGGGCGATTAGTGGGGTTTTTCATGGTTTATTGTTGATAGTTTAGTTGTGTTGTTGTTGTTGTTATTGGTTTTTAACTTCAACTTGCTAAAAATGTAATGGCATATGCTTTTTAGGTTTGAGATCTGTTTCTATCTTTACTATTAAGAAATGTTGTCTTCTGTGTGCATATATAACATTCCAGCACTTGCTAGTGCACGTGAGGCTAACATATATAACCAATGTAAATGCAGAAGTTGAGTGCAGCAGGTAAGTACAATTATACAGAAGAGTACAAGCGATGAAAATAGATATTTTTAAATCTTACTTAATACTTAGGCATCTAAAACATCACTGGAATGTAAGTATAAGTTATGAAATATATGCAGTATGTATATTTTACATATGAATTTTGTAATGTAGTATCTTTATAGAGTGAGTTAAATATTTTTGTATGTAGTCTAATGTGAAATGTTTTATTTCTCTTATGTTTGTGTTTGCAGATTTGTTCCTTACTACGTTATCAGATTCCCAGAACATTCAATTTGAAACATGGATAAATAAGGTAAGGGGAAAAGCAAAGTAACCCTTCTGTTAGCATATAATATCTTAAAAAACATAGGAGGCTATCTAGCATTCCTGGGTTTAGGAATGAGTGAAAATGATGTTAGTAGATACTGACTGCACTATTGCATTCAGTCTGCAGAATATCACTGGAGGAGGTTGTTTACTCAGCATATATTCCTCTGAAGTTTTTTTAGGATGACTACTGAGTATACCAATCAGCCGATGGTCGTAACATGATAACAGGACTCATGATACGTCATCAGATGCTTTAAGAGGTTACTAATGCTTAGTCAGCATGACGGCTTATGAAGAAATGACTGACCAGATTTTTCATTTTCGTTGTGTGTCAAAGATTTGATTTCTTTGAGTAAGTTTTTTCAGAACTGTGACTTCAGGTCTTGAGTATGATTTTGTGGGGCAGAAGTTTAAAAATCTCGCTTCTGACCTTCAGATTATTTATTATAGTTATGCTTGGGAACCTCCTGAGAGTCCTATGTTACCCAAATACAACTCAAGAAATTATTAAAACACTAAACAAAAAAACTGAGGTAGCTGTCTTCTTACTGACTGCTCAAAAGTTTTGTGCCAGAGTGTAGCAATCAACTACACCTTCACAAATGGCTGGATAGTATCTGGAACCAGAAATAATGACAGCGGGATTTTTTTTGTTTGATTTGGTTTTTGGTTTTTTAATTATTATTATTGTCCTGTTGTATTACTCAGCCTGTAGAAATGGCCAAGATCAGTGAAGAATCTCAGTGTTTATATCAGATAGTAATGTAAGTTGATTTAAAACTAAGTACATCCTTTATACTAAGTTTGCTATCCAAAAGGACTATAGTTAAGAGTCTTAGCATATGCCTATGTTAAAGTTTACCTTTTTGTTTTAGTAGAAAATGATTAATGTAGTGTTTCTTATTAGCTGAGAAATTGATTTTTGAGGCTCTGTTTACCTGGAAATTTAAAAATCACCTGTTTTTTGTTTCTCAGCTGCCAGGTTGTCTTCAAATAGAACTTTTTAGCCAAAAGTAATAAGAGCTATGCTAGAGAGTTAAAAGAATAAATAAATAAATAAATAGAACTGTTTATCATAAATCTTGTATTTTTAAGTTTTATGCAGACTTAAAAATGAACAATTTTTTTACATTGAGGAATTTTATTATTGAGCGATTCAGCATCAGCAACAGCATAAGGCATTTAACTTCTGTCTCCTGTAGTTTTTTAAATTTTCCTACAAATTTTAGATTTTCCAAATGTATATGTTCTGAATGTATTCCTACATAATACAATTAGAATACATAGATTCATTCTTTCTAAAGAAAGAATGAATCTTATGCTTTGGAATCATTCAGCCCAGTAAAATATATCTCTTAAATTTATTTTAGAATTCTCTAGTGTACACATATCAATCTTAAAAGACCTTCACTGGTCAATTGAAAGCTACTAAATCTCTCTGCAAAGCTAGGCAAAGTAATTGCCTTCACTTATGTACTATAAAATGCTTCTGAAATATTTACCCTTATGATATCCTTTTCTTCTGGTCAGTTGAGCACAGGGCCTAGTCTTCTTTACTGCATGGAGATGATTTGCATGAATAAAGATTACGAGCTCAAGCCTGCAGTCAGATAATTCTTTTGGAGCTTATAACCATATACACCATTTTCTTCTAAAGTGGTAAATATGTTTCTGCATCAATATGGTTTATTAATTCATTTAAAAAATTAACTATTTTAGAATAGACATATTGAGCATGAAAAAGAGGTGTTGCATCAAGAGGTGTACTGTTGAAGCTTTGTTTGTTTTCCATTTACATGCCTCTTTGAAACTTGCCTGTAAATATTGCCCAAGAGACTACAGCCTTTTTTTTTTTTTTTTTTTTCCCCTCCCAACTAAGTCATTGTAAACTATATGCCAAGGTTAAAATATGTAGTCAAACATTCAGGGAAAATCTGTTTCCAAAGATGCATCTTCAACAGCATTGAAGACTACAAACTGAATATGACATGAGCAAGCAATATGGGTAATTATAGATAATCCAGAAAATAGCGTCGTCTATCTGACTGAAATCTAATCGTTCCTGAGAAACAAGCTCTTTAGGGAGGTTATTCATAGCATTTCAGTTAAAGGGAAAGCTGAATTCTATAAGAGAAGATAACAACGAACTCAAAATACTGCTGATTTTTGTGTCCTTTTGCCATTAAAAATGTTGAAAATCTCAGGATTATCACAGCACTCAGTTGGGAGCATGTGTTCTCATCAGCAGAGCGCTGCAACGGCGGACTGGCAGGAGTGCAGGAGTATCTTGCAGATGTTAGTAGGGGTATATTGCATAGATCTCCTGCAAGGAAAGGGGAGCCTTATTCTTGAATGACTGCATTAGCCTTAGAAGCTAAATGTAGAAGAGATAGGGGTTTAAAAAAACTGAATGCTTTTAGGTAGAATCACTGAGAAGCATATATAGTGAGGAAGAAGTGCTCTCAAACCTTAGGGAAAGGTAAGATCATGCAGTGAGCAACTGTGGCTCCTGCCAGGTTCAGCGCAGATAAAGTTGGGTGGATAACAGCCCAGACGTATTTCTAATGACTCCTGGCATCCTGTGGCATGTCCATCTAGAGCCACCTGTGGATTTGCCTCACCAGTGGTATCTGATGACCCCCTTTCCTTCAGCCCGCATATGTATGAGCGTTCAAATACAACAGTGAAAAAGTCAGTAGTTGGCACGAAAACAAGAACGTTTTGTTGTTACCTTGTCACTTACAAAGCACCCAGGCTAAAAGTCAATTAATGGATTGCTGACTGTTTCTTTGTTTCCATTATTTTATAACTTACAATGACTTTATGTATTCTTGTGTGCATAGGATTTTATATGGGCTAATTGCAGTGACTAGAAAAGCGGGCCTTGAGTCATCTTATTTGTTTAAGAAACTAAACTTAAATGGATTTGTTCCACAGTTGCAATCCCTTTCTACGATGAATAAGGATCCTGCACTCCTCTTCAGTCTTTCTGATGAAGTATTGGAAAATGTCTTCTGCATACCTAGCTTTTGATTAGAACAAGACCTAAACCAGACCTAAAGTAAAATCAAGTTATTTCCAAATGAAAAAGTAAAATCAGAATCTATTTTTAATGTGTGCGTATATGTATGTTTTTATTTATATATGCATACATATATATGTAGTGATACTTATATAAAATTACATTTCACTATATCTAAAATATGTTAGTATTCATAGTCATTGAATTATGATTTAAATTATGCTGTTGAAATAACCCAATCTCTTCCTATTAACAGAGCAACATATGTGGATATTTGTATCTGAATATGATTGCTAGTAGACTTCCATAGGATTCCACAAAAGATTAGAATCCAACAATTCAATCCTAGTTTTCAAATGGTGTATTTTTTTCCATAGCTGGAATGTCTCTTTATTACCTACTTAATCCCCTTTATTTATGTTTATTATCTGTAATTCAAGAGTCAAACTTTATCACTTTGTCTACAGTTCAGTTATTCTATCATTTTTTTATCCTGTTGCTAGGATGGGAACTTCTCTAGAACGAGAAAAAGTAAGGAGAAACCTGAAGGCATGCAGGTTGTTGGACAGTCTGTGTTTGCAGATTTTGGTGAGTTTTATTTTCCTGAACTACTTGCAGCGTGAGTGTTTCTCTTTAATAATTTGGTTAGCTATTCTAAATCAAAGAACAAAGAAATAAAAATGTTTGGTGATAAAGCTATTCTGTTCTCTTTCTCATTCTCTCTCCCTTCCTCCCTCCCTCCCTTCCTCTTTTTTTTTTTTTTTAATTATTACTATTAGATCTGTGTGAGTGTAGATCTTAAAATATCTGGAAGTAATTTATTAACAAGTTCGGCTTAATTCAACTTTGGCTATTCCAGTGAATTCTGTATCACATATGTCTAATTTTTGAGCACCACAATCGAGGACATTTACGGTTGCTTTGAGGCATAGTACGATGTCAAAAGGCATAGTACAATGTCAAACCTATTTTTGTCAGACATATAAATGCTTTCTTTTTTTCATGATTTTTTTCCCTAAACAAGCAAACTTGCATTTACTGCACAAGTGTTTTCCTAAAACAATTTTTTCAGAAAATATTATTTGAGTCAATGTTCATAAATTCTTTATTTGCCCAAATTAATAAGGCCAAAGTGTAAATGAATTAAAATGACTTGTATAAAGATTTATGCAACATGATAAAATATTAATGATTTTAATTGAAAATTCTGGAAAGCTTTGGGTAAGTGTTAGTGACAGCCTAGATATGTCTATTATAATGCACTTTTTCAGTGAGTTGTGGCTTACCAATGTCTATGCCATTTCATGGGCAAAAAGAAATGGTGATTTTTCTAGTCCCAAAAATCCGTTTTTTCCTGTACACTAAAATAAGAATTTTACCACGCAAATAAAAGCGCTGCAAGGTTGATTCTGCTGACAGTGTTGAAAGTAAATGACTTCTTAAATGGCTAATTTATGATATTTATACATCACACTTGTTAATTGCCAGATTGAGCCTGCCTTCAAACACTGTCAAGTGGTAACCTTGTTACATCATTTTGTTTTTAAGAAATTGTGACATTTATTAAAGAGCCAGACTCCATATTAGAATCTGATTCTGTTGTTCTATGCTGCCACTTAAGAATTTGCATAACACTTTGAGCAGGGCTGTTGCCTGGCCTTTAGCTAAAGAACCCCTCTGCTGAACAGTTGGCTTACATTAGTCCCTTTTATAGCAGCTATGGATGCGTTTAGAGATCTATAGTAAACAAAGTAGGGTAGAAGTGGAAAGAGGATAGAGATTCTTCCATGAAGTGTTTAACATGTTTTGTAAAATCCTTCAAAGTTGGAGGGTTAATTACTGTTTAAACTGTCTACAAATATAAACATTTGTGTATTTAATATACAAAGGAAAGAACACTTCCAGTTTTTGCAATTAAAAACATTTTAAATATATTGGAGATTTTGTAACCATTTTCCAAGCTGATGTTCTGAATAATGTGTGTTAATACATACTAAGTATAGACCAGATTTTATTTTAGAGATGGCAATATGACAAGCAATCTTTATGTAGGATTTTTTTCATCTGTGTGTTAGGTAGCTAATGAGCCCAAATGATACGTATTTCTAAACATCTACCATAATTAATGGGATTTTAATAAACCCTGGGATATCTTCGCAAAGAAAAATGGAACTATTAAACATTTAAGAAAAGTTAAAATTTTGAAAAATGTGAATACATTGAATGGCATTCCTAAAAAAGTATTTTTATGAGCATTTTTTAAAGAAGTTCTGATCATCTCATTGCTGGAAAACTGAGAGCGCATTTACATTGCTTACATTAAGCTTAACTTAATGGCTAAGTAATGCACAATTGCAAATTATTGAAATTAAGGAGGAGGAAAATAAAAATTTGAAACGGTTCTTTGGGTGTGTGTGAATTGAAAACAAAAAATATATTCAAATGTTTTGAGGAGCGTCTGAAACTTCAGCTGGTGTGCACGACAGCGCAGCAGAACCGCAGCGCGGCACGCCGTCGTTGGGTACAGCCCAGGGTGCGAAGTAGGTGGCGGCGGGGATAGCAGCCCCTGCCGCTTCGCTAGCCCTTGTTTCCAAGTGCCATCGCCGACTGTTTCGTACCCTGCGCTGCTAACTGTCAGCAGCCTCGTAGATGAAGCATCAGAGTGAGCTGATAGCGGAGCAATTTTTCTAATAGGAATTATTATGATGGAAGGGAATGCGTGCAGGGACTTCAGAAACGCACACAAATAAATATAGGGGGACAGCATATATGGCAAAGAGGAGAGATAGGCAGAAAATCATCAGTGGGACGAGATGCTGGCTTTTCAGCGGATGGCTTCTTGGAAATGGTTTTCCTGAAAGATCTCAGCCACTCCATCTATGTGTGAACACCCAACATAAATCCTCATGCTGTAAGAGGGTCTTACTCCCTCTTCCTGCACGATTACTTTCTTGTGGTCATTTTTATCTTTCACAGATGAATCCAGATCAGTCAGGTCACTCCAGGGTGAAGGGAGGAAAGTGGTTTATGGTCTTTCTGCCCACCTGCCCCTCAAGGGTGGCACGTGTTTAGAGATATCTCTCACTGTGTAGATTTTCATGAAACTTGTAGAAGTACTGTTCTTGAAACAGCTCTGCCTCTTTCAGACTAGGCTGAAATGAGCTGGTGTTTTCAAAATCATTAGGGAAGACGAAGAGATACAAGCCTTTTTGGGGTATGAAACCATGCTTTCTTGGGACGTAGGTAAATTTTACAAGGATAATTTATTTCTTAAGATCTTTCTGTGGCTGAGCACAGTAATGTCCTTTATTCAATTCTAATTAGCATGCAGAAATTAAGAGTAAAGAGATTTGATGCACGGACTCCAATTTACAAAGTGCTTAAAAGACAACTTTGAAACACGGAAGAGACATTCCAAATATTAAATATAAATATTTAGAATGAATGTTTCTTGTCTTTTATGTTGGAAAATGATTCTCTGGTATGGCTTGTCGTCTGTTTAGCTGCAGAGCTGGAGGTTCGTATGGGAAGAGTGGAGCAGATACCGTGTATCTCTGTTTCTAGAAGTAGAGTTCTTTAATTGAAATTATGCGTGTAAGGAGTAGATTGGCTTTCTACAGCAGAGTCTAATTGCAGGACAAAGGAAGGAAGAAGGTTTAAAATTGTTCTTTCTGGACTTTCAAGTAAGGATTGGATGTGACAGCTTGTAGACGGCGATCTTGGCAATAGAAGATAATTGATAGAGAGGTTTGAATGTCTGTGTGTGGAAGATAAGGAAAAAAAAATTAGCATCTGTAATTAGGTCTGAAGGAACAAATGTGACAGAAGCTTTGTATTGGTTGTGAACTGCTGCATCCATGCTGGAAATGTTTTGATGAAGGAAGATAGATATAAAGAGATTTCTGGCTTTAATGAAGGAAAGGAGGTATTGAATGCACTTGGGGGGGCTTTTTTTTGTTTGAGCCTTGTTTTGAATCGGGCTTTACGGTTGCCTACATCTTCCCATCTTAAGTTTCTGATATATGTTTTAACTTTGCTAAACATGTAAAAAGAATGCTATAAATATAAATTTTCTGTAGAGGAACAAAGTTTACTCTGACAGTTATGGAAGTAACTTTGTAACTTTATTTCAAACTTGCTGCTTGAGTGCTGTATGATTTTAATATTCAATTCATCTTTCTTCTGTTCTAAAAGTGGGTAAGAAATTGAGTAGTGCATCAGTAGCTCTCTGTAAGAAAGTCCATACAATAATCAATGGGAAGAAAAAGTTTTAATGCAAAGGAGGATCTTAGTTGAATTCTGTTAGTTTTGATTCTAGTGATTTTTTTGTTCTACACCGATCTAACAATAAGGAGGTAAAATCCCACATTCCTAACATACCACTATATCAGAATAATTACTTTTACCTACTATACTATATCTGTGCGTATGTAGATACTTCAAAAGATAGGCATTTATTATAGAGGCTCTGCTTGTTGTGTACTGAAGTTAAAGAAAATCCCTTACTGGAAACGATTTGTCAGACTTGAACGTCTCCTATTTTTTCAGTTTTCCTGTTTCAGAAATTATGAAATAGTGATTGTCAGAAGTCAAAGGAAATTTTAAGGTATGATAGGTTGTAATTTTAAATAGTAATAGCGCTTTCAAACATGTAAGTTGAAAGAAGTTTCATTGCAAAAAGAATCAAGTAGCACAATGGGAGTGTAAAGTGAGATACTTTAAAAAGAAATGCTGCCTTTTCCCTAAGTGGCTCTTGCCACAGTGGATATTGTGCACTAAGCAGAAGATACCATAGCTCTCAACGCGCTCTGTGTGCGCGGCGAGCTTCTTCACTGTTGGCCTAGAGATACAGCTAAAGACAGTGTGAATTGCATGCCTAATATACGCAGAGATTGGCTGTTAGAATTTTGTACGTGTACTCAAAAGCACAAAGGCGAACTGAAGAGTATTTTCAGTTTCTGAATTTTTTTTTTTTTTTTTTGGAAATGCCATGTAATAATAACCTCTCGCAATCTACTGCTGCTCCTCGAGGGGCCCTGCCAGTGCTTCAGCACCAAGAGCATGAGTCACGGGTAGGGCCTTGCAGCCTTAGAAAATGACAGCCTACACTCACATATGTTCACTTTTGTCACATGCTTACAGGATCAATGTCAAATTTTCCAAATGATGAATATTACGTACAAAATCCAAATGATGAATATAGATTTTTTTTCTCTGTATCGCAGTGGTAATGAAGTAAATAACTGAAAATATTGCTGCTTCTCATAGCTCTCAATGCTCTCTGTGTGGGCAGCAAGCATCTTCGCTATTGGCCTAGAGATACGGCTGCCGCAATGAGGAACATGTTTGGTACGGAGTCACAAACAAACCTGCCTCTCTCAATCCCCTTTCTCTCTTGGCATTTTCTGTACCTCATGGCTGATGGCCTTTGCTGTCCCCTAAAGATCCGAAAGGGTTTCCTCTCTCCCCCTGCTCTGGCCTTTCATCCTTCTTACCACTTCTCATTTACTTAATCTTGTGTATGCCTGACTCTACAGCTCCATCGGGCCCAGGCGTGCACTGGGTGGGGGGGAGATCGTTTCAGATGC